TTCTCCTTTCATTTTTCTTTTTCACGGTGAAGATGCGATTCTGAGATTTGGGCTAGGGCAAATTAAGAAAGGTGCATTTTTAAGGCGATGTACAAATACCTGGCGCGAGAGTCCCCAGCTTTGCAGGGAAGCTTTCGATGCTGATGTGGCTATGCAGGGTGGGAGGATGGTCTTTCTTCAGAGATTTGATGTCAGCTCCTCTAGAGCCGGCTCTAGACCTCCAAAAGAGGTGATACCTAATTCTAAATGGTCTAAGGGAAAGTGAGAGAAATCAGATCTTGTGCTCTGTCATACTGTGATAGACAAAGACATTCTGCCAACATTATTTACTGCGAATGAGTAAATAATCCATAATAGTCTCAATATTTTGGGATTTACCTTTCATTTTGAAAGAATCCATATGAACATAACTTTGTGGAAGTTAGGTTGACTAGCATTCTGAGCATGAAGTTGTTTGTCCTTGGCATGAGCCCCATATGTAGCTATCAGGACAGGAGGACATAAGCTTCCCAGCATTCCTAAGCAGCTAATGCATGGTATCCTCATTACAGCCATAGGAAAAATAAAAACCAGATTGGAACTCTCAAAACAGGTGCACAAAATCAACACTCATTCCAGACCTTTCCTAGCAAGGCTTTCAATGACTCTGCAACCTAATTTCTTCTCTTGAAAATAAGCTTACACAAAAAGGCCAGGTTGCTAAGGTGTAGGTGAATGTGTGTCACTGTGGGATTGCATGGACATCACTGTCCAAGGCAGTCCTCTTCTAGGAGTGCTAGAGAGAAATGTATCCATGACACTTGCTAAAAGCAGGAAGATGTTGGGGGTGGGCGGATGGCTCAGTGACAAGCATGAGAACTTGAGTTCAAATCCCTAATAGCCATGTAAAAATCCAGGCGTGGCTGTGCATGCCAGTAATTCCAGTGTTGGGGGATGGAGGTGGCAAGTCCTGGGAGCTCCCTAGCCAGCTTTTGGTTCAGTGATAGACCCTGGGAAGAACTGGAAAAGACACCGACATCCTGCTCTGGCCTCCATGTGCCTGGGGTGCACGAGTGTGCACACCTGCAAACTTACATGTGCACCCTGGCCTGTCTGAAAGTTGACAGCAGCTGATAAAACGTGTGACAGACTCCTATTTTCTATATTTCATCATTTCAAAAGCCCCTCCACTTCCACAATCTCATTTCTTCTCAGTTGCAATGCTGTGAGATGCTTAAGAAGCATATTTTCACACACACACACACACACACACGAATACATGCATTCATATGGAAACATAGATACACGTGCACATACACACAGACACATATAATACATACATACACATACCCACACACAAACAGTAAGCTTTATTCAGTTGCGGAAGGAAGGCAAGGAAAGTAGGGGTGGATGTCAGGAAGGGGTCTGGGCTGTGTGCTTTGGAAAGAATGCCACCAGCTGTAGACCTGGCTTGAGCACATGGATTTGGGGGTGGGGGTTGTTTCATATTCAAATACTGTCCTGACTTTCAAATATTACCCTGACTTTTAAAAGTACATCTTTATTTCATTTTTTCTTTGGAATTAGATTTCTGTATTACCTCTCTTCTTTCCTTCCTTCTTTTTTTTGTGTGTGATTCTAATGATACAACTCAGAGATTAAACCTTCCTAGGAAAAGCACTATGCCACTGAGCTATACCTCCAGCCTTGGGGTTGATTTTATACGTGTATTCATGTATTATTGTAAGTGCAAACATGCAATTCTCTACATGCCCGTATGTGTCTATATGCTCTGCATCTTTTCAATAAGTTTGAGAATGGAGGAAAAGCTGAAGCAATAGGAAACTACGTATATTTGAGTCAGGAGGGCAAGGGCAGATTGTGACATGGAGCCAGGATACGGTGGAACACTCACCGCACACAGGGAAGAACACTCCCTGAAGAAGAGAACGCCACATTTCCATGCTGACTTTTTCCAGCTGTTTGTGCCGAGGGAAATTTGATCAGGGACATGAGTCACCACATCCATAAAATGAGACCAGAAGAACTGCTCTGGCAGAAGCTGGTTCAGGCTCTGAAGCCTTCCCTTACTTAATATCCTCACCTTCACTTGTGCCAGAGTCTGGACTAAGTGACTATTTGGAAAGAGACAAAAACCTTGTCTAAAAGCACAGCTTTTAGATCCTGTGGGTAGGGAATTAAAAACTAAGAGAGTTTGGGACTGGAGTAATGACTCAGCAGTTAAGATCACTGACTGCTCTTGCAGGTTCAATTCCTAGCACCCACATGGTGGGCTAAGGACCATCCTTAACTCCAGTTCCAGGGGAATCTAACGCCCTCTTCTGACCGCTGCATGACACAGGTGCATTTATACACATGCAGGCAATATACTTAAACACAGGGGAAAAAAAAAAAAAAAAACAAACTAAGAAAGATTAAGATTTAATGGCCCTGTCATGAAAAAATTGCATTGATTCAGTTATATGGGGGGTAGAACTTGGAAACTGGTACTAAATGATGGGTTCAGGAAGAAGAGGGATTATAAAAACAATATTTAGTCTGGGAAGATGGCTTGGTGGGTATGAGTATTTGCTGTGCAATTATGAGAATTTACGTTCAAATCTTAGAACCCATGTAAAAAGCCAAGAATGGCCACTGGTCTTGCCTGAGTGCTCAACTCAGCACTGTGGAGGACGGAGTAAAGATAGATCACTGGTTTTCTGGCTGCCAGCCTAGCTCCAGATTCAATGAGAGACCCCTTCTTAAGGGAATAAGGTAGAGAGTAATACAGCTGGACACCTCTGCGTGCGTGCACACACACACACACACACACACACACAAAGACAGAGAGAGAAATATAATACACAACAGAGTCACACACATATACACATACAAAAATACATAAAATTTAAAGATGTGCTCAATAGAGTGAGCTACCAATATACAAATTCAGAAGACCATATCAAATGTGAAACAAGCAGTTCATCATTCAGTATTCCTATCCCTTAATCCATTTGTGGAGCTGAGACACGAGACAAGCCATAAGGAGGCTTCTCTCATCACATAAGATGTGTGATAGAATCTAGAGTTCATGTGAGGGTCTAGCTGTGTCTCTGTCAATGTGACTTATAGCCAGTATTACATCTTTTTTGGAAAGATGTGATGGTGTCAAAAGCAGTGGTTAAAAAGGGCAGACAGGGGTTCTAGGTCTTTATCATCCTGATGCTAAACACAGGTACTCTTTGGTTCTAAGGCACAGAAAATCTGTTTCATGGTCAAGCTCATGCATAATAAACATGGCCTCCAGGTGGCAGGAGTGCACTCTGGTTAAATGCAGCAGCTCCGGGGCCTTCTCCTACTATACTAGTTAACTACTCCAGTTGGTGGTAGCAACCTTAGCAGACTAGAGGGAAACAGACTAGCAGTTTTAATCCTTCTACTAAATCTGAGAGCAGCATTTAACTTTTTACATTTTAATATTTTATGCACATAAGTGTTTTGCCTGCACAGAAGTGCACCCATGTTGTGCAGTGCTGGCAGAGGCCAGTAGAGGGTGAAGGAACCCCTGGAACTGTAATTAGGGACTGTTGTCAGCCACCATGTGGATGCTGGGAACCAAACCCAGGTCCTCTGCAAGGGCAGCCAGTGATCTTAACCACTGTGCCATCTCTCCAGCCTCCTGAGAAGAAGTTTGTTTTTGGTTTTTGTTTTTGTTTAATGTACACAGGTGGATTTTCTTTTTTGGAAATTTTCACATTATTTGCTTATAGGCTTTCCATACACTAACTTAATATGTAGGAATAAAACACAAATAAACAAGAAAGAAAACTTCTGTTGTATGCCTTCCAAATAATCTAAGGGAAATTATTATTTGAAACTAAACCTAAATTACTACAAATTTAGGAGCTCAGATTTTCTTAACCCAATTTAGGGGGGGAAAGAGAATAAAATAGTATTGATAATAGTAATTATTATTTATTGACCAGTACTATGTGCCAATGGTTGTATTCAAATGCTTTAAAAATACTGGCTTTGGATCAGGAACTCTCAAGGAGGCTGGATTTGAACACAGGCCTGGACGGAGGCTTTCCTCCTGTGCTTCCCGTGACCTCACACTTTTTTTGTTGGCACCATTGTCACAAGGAAACATTAGAACTGAAAACAGGGTATGGATTGAATGCAGACAAGGACATACTCCTGTTATGACCTTCCCTGGAGTGCAGACACATGCTATTTATTCGTCGAGGGACAATAATATATTTTGATGCCAGTTACATTGAAAGTTAACAATGAATACTGGTTGGCCAGGGTGGCCCAAGGGACTCCCAGACAGTAACCCAGCATAGAACTGGGAAAATGAACAGCAGACCCCAATCTTATCTAAAGGAATATTGACAAATGATTGCTGCTAGATGAGGAAAGGCTGACCCTCCTAAAACAAAGACCTCTAGATAGGCTGACTAGATTCACCAGAAGGGCTAGTAGTGGGGAATGGCTGGGGTGCCAACAACACATCAGACAGTAGTTGGGATATCAGAGTATAAGGGGTCTAGTCGGGGGAGGGAGGCTATGGGAGGGTTCCATCTGGGAAGTGTGTGTGTAGTCGAATAAAATGGTTTGGGATGTTCTGTATGATATACACACAAAAAAATGACAAATTAAAAAAATG